GGCTCTATGTTTGCAATTGTTTATGTGATCTCTCAGCTCCTGCTCTTGCAGCCTACTGCTATGCCCTCCACCCACCATTGTGAACTCCCCCTCTGGAATCATAAATCCATATTAATTCTTCTTTATGTAAGTTTCCTTAGTCATGGTGTTTCATCAAAGCAACAGAAAAGTAATAAATACTCACTAATTCTTGGGGTTTCCATAGTCCTGGCTTTATAGGAACCACTCTTCCACCCTCTTACCTCTCTTCAACCCGTCTGAAATCAGGCTAAACTGACAGTTGGGGAAAGTAGACACAACTGAAATGGGGCATAAGTCTGCAGATTTGGCTCATGCCTGGCTGGGGACAGCACTGGAGGCTCCTTGAAGGGACTCTGGCCAGCTGGAGTGTGGCAAGCATGGCTCTGGCAGGCCTTGCCCTTCTCTCCCATCCCCTCTGCCTTGCCAAAATCCATTAGATTACATTCCTATTCACCGAGGTCTCTTCCCTTATTTGGCCAATTCCTCCTCCTGAGGCCAACTATCAAGGCCCAACTATCAAAACATTGAAGTCTGGCAACCAAAAGCCCCCTTTGGCCGCCCTAATTAACATGCCCAATTACACACCACATCCTAACATGGGGTTTCCCTATATAGCATTATTAACTACCATTTTCCTATGTGCCGAGTGTGTCTCCTCTCTATTCTCCGGGACAAATTCTCCAGCCCACTTTCCCTCGTTTCCTTCTCCTTCTCCTTCTCCCTGTCTTCTTATCTCCTGTCATTGTCTTTTATTCCCTGCTCTCTGTCCCTCCCTTTGTTCTGAGAACTTGGTCTTGGGGGTCCTGAGCTGATATTTTTCCTTTCACTTCTGGCCTTCCTCCTGTTTCTAGGTGTGGCTGTAGTCTGTGGTAGCCTCACCCTTCCCTCAGCACCAGAGCTCTCTGTAGGGTTGGCTGGGGCCTTTCACGGTCTAGTCACAGAGAATAAGAGCCAAAGTATGGCAATTGCCCCCTCTCCTGTCAATACACAATCCTTCCATCTTCCCCTTTCCCACCTAAATACTGTCCTAATCACTCCAGGAAAGAATTCTGTCTCTTAAGTGTGGCCTCAACAAAGCTCCCAGCAGAAACCAGTCTCACCATTCAGGCTGATTGGACTTGAGATCTTGTTCTCATCCAGCCAATCCCTTCCCCTATCCATCATGCCTTGAGTGCTCTTCCTACAGCCCAAATCTCCCAACTCACCTTGCAGTGTTATCTTTAAGCATTCCCTATTCCACAAATATTTATTGACTAGCCTCTGTATGCCAGGAATCACATTGTGGGCAGAGAAAATAGAATCAATCTCATTAAAACCCTGCTCTCTTTGAGCAGAAATGTCAGCGGTGAGGTCATAATAAACAATATCTCTAGAGACTTTTGCAAGGCACCGGTTCTTCACCATACTGCTCAATAGGATGTCTCAGAGGGCATCCAGATGTGCTGATACCCCATCACACCCCAAGCCCATCAAAACAGGGCTTCTGGGGGTGGGGAGATCCAGACATCAGCATCTTATAAAGCTTCCATAGGAGCTCAGTGCAGCCCACTCTAAGAGCCATGAGTGATTGAACCCTCAGATGCAGAACTGGTAGGCCAGGGAGACTTCCTGAATTCACAGAGATCAGTAATCTCTTCCTAAGATGGAAACAATCCATTAAACTCATCAATGGCCCCAGAAATCTTCTGCAAGCCCAGCCTACTAGGTTTCCAAGAAGAATGCAACTGTGAAGCCAGGATGTTTTAGAAAAATGGAAGGGAAGAAGTTAGTAAGGTGTCTACTGTGGCTTGAAAGAGAAATGTCTAACATAGTCCCTGCAGTTTGAACACTTGGCCCCCGGGTGGTGGCACTATTTGAAGAGGTTATGGGGAGGTGGGGTCTTGCTAGAGGAAGTACATCACTGGGAGGCAGACTTTGAGAGTTAAGAGACCCCACCACCTCCAGCTCACTCCCTCTGCTTCATGCTTGCATCTGAAGATGTGATCTCTTGGCTTCCTGATCCTGACACTGTGTCTCCTGCTTGTTTTCATGTCCACACCACGATGAACTCTTTTCCCTCAGGGACCACAAACTAAAACAAACTCTTCCCCCGTGAAGTGCCTTGGTCATGGTGTTGTAGCACAACAACAGAGAAGTAATAAAGTGTCCAAGTAGGTGGTGTCTGCCCTGCTGAAAGCCAGGTTATTTCTAAGACAACTCTGGCCTTATTTTTCAGGTGACATGACAGGACCATCAAGACCTTCACATGCAATAAAAAAAAAATCATGAAAAAGTTCCCCAGAGATGACAAAGACAATAGTAGACACCATCCTTTCTGGAACCAACCTGTTTGGTTTAGACAGCTGAGGATATGCAGTGAATATGTGGAGACCACTGTTCCTAACAGGTCTCTTGGTTGATATTTTTCTCATTTAATCTTCCCAGCTGCCTCCTAACAAAAGTCATTTAGTGTCCTGATTGTTCACCCAGAACTGAGGCTGTCTTATGTAAGGCTAGTAAGTTGGCAAATGGCAAAAGGCAGTATGAAAGAGAGCCATTTTAGTACATTTATTTGTAATTCCACATTCCCTGATATCACTCAGGTCAGTATCTTACCATTAACACCACAGGACTATTTACACCAAAGGCATGGGTAAGTGCTGCACATCAGGCCTTTTTTATGCCCCTCGGCCAGCCCAGAGATGGAGTTGTCAAATAATGTATAAAACAATCTGCTAAAATAGAATTTTCAGTTAAAAAATGAACTATTCCCTATGATAAGTAAATGGGATATATCTAAAATTAAGATTTAATGTACGTCCTGGATTTTTATTGTCAAACACAACAACTTCTCTAGAGAGCTATTGCTAACACATGTATGGTCCTTCCCACCATTCTGTCAGACATCTTTATTGTGAACATTTGACTAGGGTTTAATGCCAAACATCTAGTAACATCTTAGGGGGCTTGTAGGTACTTAAAATGTTCGTTTTTAAGCTGTGATGGTTAGTGGCCATTGTCAGCTTGACAGAACCAGGAATTACTGGGGATATGAGCCTTGGGCATGTTGGGTGCGTCTTGAGGTAGGAAGACCTATTCCATCAAAACAGTTTGGGAATGGAGTCGAGAGAGAATTCTGTGGGCTTTTGAGAACTCTCCAAGAAAACAGGACAAAAATTTTGTGACCTCATTTCCTTCAAAGCACCAAATTGTTCTTGGAATGTGTTTTTTGTGCTTCTGCCAGGTGTAGTGGACAAGAGTGAGTTTATTTCAGTTGACTCATTACCCCTTGCTGCCGTTATTCAGTTAAATGTTTAAACTATCCTCTGTGTACTCATGGAAAAACATGTTTTTGTCACACAGGGTTTATTTTTGTTACTATACGAAGCTTGAACTCAAGTGAACTTTACTCCCACGAGCTCTCTGAACTCTCAGAATATAAATTGTCTGCTCCTCTGAATAAAGTTGGCGATTATATGAGACTTTAGTCTGCCTCATTTATCAGCTCCATTCTCCCAGGTCCCATCACCGCTGGAGCAGTGACAGTACCCACTATAGGTGTCAACATCTCCATTGAAGCCATCGGGGGAAGGCTAGTGACAATTCTTTTGTAGAATCTGACTTGTGTCATCTGATTCAGTGTCAGAGAAAGACCTCCATACTTGGGGAACCTATTGCTTAGTCTTGGAGATGGCAGGTGGGTCCTGGGAATCATCCTTCAATGGTTTGAATGTGAACTACCCCCATAGTCTCACATGTTTGAACCCTGGGCTCCAGGCAGTGGTGATATTTTAGGAGGGTGAACAAACTTTGGGACTGTGGCCTAGCTAAAAGAAGTGGGTTTCCAGGGTTGAGGCTTGAAGATGGCATCTACTCTGACTCCAGCCTGAGACCTCTGCTTTCTGATCTGAGAAATTGCATCAACAATGAGCTCCCACCGTCCTGGAATAGACCACTCCACCATGCCTTTCCCACCATGAAAAAACTATAAACCAGTGTAAGTCCCTCTTCCTTCAAGTTTCTTCTGTGCGTGCTCCGCTGCAGCAATGAGAAGAGTAATTAATGTACCTATAAGATCCTACAGAGGGAACCAGAGCCCAGAATGGTAGCTGCAAGGACAACTGTGGATACAGAGAAGGAAGTCCTTTGACTTGCTCATAAACATACACACACTTCTTTTTTATTTTTTAAAAGATTTTATTTATTATGTATACAATGTTCTGCCTGCATGTATGCCTGCAGGCCAGAAGAGGGCACCAGATGTCATTATAGATGGCTGTGAGCCATCATGTGGTTGCTGGGAATTGAACTCAGGACCTCTGTGCTCTCCTCTGAGCCACCTCTCCAGCCCCCATACACACTTAACAGCCATTACAAAAATAACTTGGAAATACACTTTAAAAAAAGTGGAAAATGCAGTTTGTAATTATAGTACTAATTACATGTTAATTAATTACATGTGTGTGAGTTTGAGTATCATTCTACTTTGGATAGGTGACGACTTCTTATATAATGTAAGGAAAGCATTAACCATAAGGGGAATGTCAATAATTAGAGTGCATCTGGCACAAACACAGGAACTTCCATTCACCAAAAGACACCTTTAAAAAAGTGAAAAGGTGTAGGAGTAAATATTTGTGATTTATTTGACCAAAAATATATAAAGAAAACCTATCATTATTAAGAAAAAAACTCAAAAACAGCACTCCAGAAACCACCTTAAATAGATATTGATGCAAAGTCTTTTTCTTCATCCCATAAGAACCGAGCAGTTGCACTGCTTCCCAGCCACCCTCTGCCCAGTCTCTTCCTGAGCTCCAGCCTGACACAGAGTAGCAGTGTATTACCTCAAGGGTCATTTAACAGACTTCACAATAAGGCTTTAGCTAAGCCAGTTATGACATGGTAAGTTCTTTTGACTGTACCTTGAGCTCCCATTAAACTGTCTAAGACACGAACTCCAGGCAGTAACACCTCCTGTCCTAACCTATTGCTGGAGTATGATTAAAGAGTGGGAAAATCGCTTTCAGAGGTTTAGAAGCCAGAGAGCTGGACTTCAGAAGGACCAGGAAGGGACCACTGATGAGGGAGAGCAAGATAACAGGAAGCCATCCAAGATCCCCAATATCAGCCACCCCTCAATAGCTCAAGATTTCCCATACCACAAAGAGGACCTCTGCACTGCAACACCTCTAGGGTGAGTATGGCTTGGGTACCCAGTCCTTTCCTAGGTGGCCTCAGTCTAGTTAATTTAGATCCACCACCTGCCAGTTTCTCACTATAAGAAGAAACCAGAAAGACCCTTTCCAGAGCTCTAATTCATTGTCCCTCTGTATTCCAGAATATGGACAGCATTCTACAAATCAGACCCACGCATTGCCCTTGGAAAATACTCCCCAATGGAACAAAAGATCCAAGTAAGTGCCCCCAAGTTTGCATGGACAAAGTCCCTGTGGAATCTGCTTGCAGAGGTAGGGGGAATCCCAGGGTTCAAAATCCACCAACCAAGACAATGAAAGGGGGATGAGATATTTCCAGTCATGTTGGCTGTGTCTACTGGTGGATTTCACTCTCTGAACATCCCTACCAAGAGTACAGCCATAAGAGGGGCTGGAAAAATGGCTCGAGGGTGAGTACTTTTGCTGTGCAAGCATGAAGACCTGAGTTGAATCGTTAGCACCTATATAAAAATGCCAGGCATAGCTGGGTGTGCTGTAACCCCGGCAATGGGGAGCAGAGACAGGTGAACCCTGAGAGATTGCTGGCCCACCTAAACAAAATGGCAAGCTTCTAGGTCTCTGAGAGACAATGTCTCAAAAGAGGAAAGTGACAGGGGGAAGCACCTAATGTCTTCTGGTTCTGCATGAATATGCACAGGACATGCACCTTTCTCCTGTATGCCGCCAACACATACACCAAACAGAAAAACACAAATAAATATAAGTGTGATAATGAATTATGAAACTGCCATTTCTTAAGTACTTACCTGGCACTATATTGTGCTTTGAGTGTGACATGTCCTCCATAGACTCATGTGTTTTAATACTCAGTCATTTAATGCCACACAAGATGTACACAATTGGTGTCCATCAACATTTAAACATGGTGGGGGGTCTCACAAGGCCTCACCCCTCCCTAAGCAGTTCATGGTGAGGGTGGGGGCAGAGAAGTCATTTTCTTCAGTGATGTAACCACTGGTAAGTTGCCTGTGCTCCAGGGGAAAAAAGTAACTTTGGCGGGTCACAAAACAAAAAGAAAAGTAAAAAAGACAAGACACGAAAAGAAAATGTGTGTGGAAAGAGAAGTTCAGTGGAATAGAGAGGGGGATGAGAATAAGCAACAGGTGAAAATGTCCATTATATACATGTATGAAACTGTCAAAAAGTAAAACGAGGAGCAGAAAGGGAAAGATAGCCTAAACTGCTCTTCCAGAGTTCATTTCCCAACACCCAAGTCAGGCAACTCACAACTGCACATAACTGTAGAACTGTAGTTCCAGGGTATCCAACACCCTCTTCTAGCCTTCACAGTCACATGCACACATGTGCAAACACACACACACACACACACACACACACACTTGAAACCAAAGTTAATCTCTTAAAAAAAAATAGTTGAAAAACCAAGCTGTGGTGGCACACGCCTTTAATCCCAGCCATTGGGAGGCAGAGGCAGGCAGATCTCTGTGAGTTCGCGGCCAGCCTGGTCTACAAAGGTACACAGGGAAACCCTATCTCAAAAAACAAAAAGTAGTTGAAAAATAAAAATGAAAAAAATAAGGATAAGGTGCAAACATAAGTGATAAAGATGACATTTCCAGGTCCTCAGCTTTTCTTTTGGGCACTGTGTTGCACTTTGAGTGGGAAGTGTCCCCTACAGGCTCATGTCTTTCATATGGCTCCCAGTTAGTGGCACTGTTTTGAGAGGTTATGGAGCTTTCAGGGGGTGAGGTCTAGTTGAAGAAGAATGGGGTCACTAAGAGGGTGGGCCTTCTGGTTTTTGCCTGGCCTCGGTTTCCGTCCTGATCCTCTGAGCTGTAGGCAAGCTACTCCATGCTCTCACCACCATGGAGCCACCTGCTACCATGCCTTCCCTACCATAATGAATTGTGTCTCCTCAAACTGAGCCAGAATAAATGCTTCTCCCTTAAGCTCCTTCTTGCCAGGTCTATAGTCACAGTGATAAGTCACAGATATTTAGTTACAGTGATAATAACACACACACACACACACACACACACACACACACACACACACACGTTGCTCTCACAAACATTACCTTTGAGACTTTACAATAACCTTTGTAAGGTCGATAAACTGATTCTGAATTCATACTGGATGGAAGGAGAGCCAGGCTTCTCACCCAGGTCCATTTGATTCCCAAGGTCTACCCTCTTTCCCGTTTATAGGGATTCAATGCTCTTAGCAGTGGAGAGAGAACTAGCCACTTGCTAATTCTTTCCACCAGGGATGCCTACCCTTAGGTATTGAAATTTTTAACCATCTTTTTCCATTCTTAGAATCTCGGTGGTGTTCACACCATAGCAACCAGAAGATTTTTGACTGACAAACTCAAGAAAGAACGGAGGATGCTGAGGGAAATACAGGCACAGTCATCAGACTACAAAAAGGCCACAAAATACAGAACAAAGTCCTCCTCTTGTTCTGTGTGTGGACCCCCAGAAAAAATATGGACAGCAAAGGTGGTTGTACCACCAGAGGAGTTTAAAATGCCCTGCCGAGAAGCGATCGACATCAACAAACATATAAAAAGGATGCAGCTGGCACGGGCCCTAAGAAATAGGCAGTTTTCGCCATACGTTGAAAAGCTCCATAATATCACACTGCTGTCTAGAGCAGAGCTGAGTTCCCCACGAACAGACAAATCCAGTGAATGGGGGGATAACTCTGACAGGGATATCTATGATAAAGCCACCCAGGAGGAGAAAGGGGAAGCAGAGTTCAAGCCCAAAGAAAGACGAGAGATTGAAATGAACGTGACTTTCAAGTCAGAAGAAAGCAAAGGGTGTTTGGTATGCCATCGGAATGATCGGAAAGCTTTTCTCCCCCCGAAGAAGAGGCAGGAGCGGTGTATCACGGGCCTGACGAACAGAAACCTCTTCCCCATCATTGGCTTTCCTGGAGACCTGATGCTCTTGAACCAGGATTTTATATCACGGGGGATCCACCCGAATGACGCCATTAACATCTACTGGCTGCCAGAAGAAGACACCTGCAAAGCACACAAGCGCAAGGCCGCTTGCTGCCCGTACAACCAAGTGCCCTGCTCTTCGTGTCTCCTGCACACCTTGTCCTAGGGTCTTCCTCTCTGCTCTTTCTTTGCGCTCCTTGGCTTCTCCTGCTCTGTCTCCACGGTGTCTCCAAGATGAGATTCTGTTACTGGGGCTTGTTTCCAGCTAACTCGAGTCTAGCTCCCACTTCACTACAATCATAAATTCTAAATTATAGGCTTTTCTTGATCCTGGGTGTTCACTGTAAAACTGAAGTTGCCAGCCAAACACTGAGTCCTAGCACTAGGAAGCAATCCAAATGTGACAGGAAATGGATTCTCTGTCTCCTCCAAAGTATGTCCTGACTCACCTGAGCCTTTGGCATGAATAGGAGGGAAGGGGAGCTTTGGGCAGGGCGGGGAGGAAGGGAGCATCTAGAGCAAATGAAGGGGTTTCCCTCCAATGACAAAGCTCTCATGCTTTCTGCATGTGTGTCTATGTATCACATTTGTGCCTGGTGCCCATGGAGGCCAAAAGAGAGTGTTGGATTCCCTGGCATTAGAGTTAGAGATGGTTGTGAGACACCATGTATGTGCTGGGAATCAAATCCAGGTCTTCCGGAAGAACATCCAGAGCTCTTAACTGCTGAGGCATCATTCCAGCCCCTAACTTTTCCATACAGGATCTCACTAAGTTGTCCACACTGAACTAACTGCTTTGCCTTTCCAAGTAGCTCAGATTTTAAACTTATGCCTCCAGACCCAGCTTATAACCAGTATCTGACCAGTGGAAAATAAAAGAAGTTCAACAACCCCCCAAAGTAATTCACATTTGCATGCATTCACATATATACACACAAGCATTCACATGTACACACACACACACACACACACACACGCACACACACACACATATTCACATATACATACATTCACATGTACACACACATTCATACACATTCACTGTATACACACACACTCACATGTATACTCACGTGTACACACACATTCACTGCACAAACACGATTCACTGTACACACACATTCACTGTACACACACACTCACATGTACACACACATTCACTGTACACACACATATTCACACGTACACATTCACATGTAAACACACATTCACATGTACACACACACACATACATACACCCAGAGACAGACATTCTCCTCTTTGTCCCTTCCTTCTCCTGCACTAAGGTGGAAGTGAGAAGTTCTCATCTGGAGGAGAGTCTCGGAGAGTAGAGAGGGTTCAGGAATTACACACTACTGACCCTTGTCAGCAATACCCAAACGAAGGCTAGAGCAGGGCCTGGCTCCACTGGAGCAGCAGGGAGAACTCAGCTTGGTGGCTTGGAGGTATGTGTGAGACACTGCTGAAGTCTGTCTCCTCACCTTGAGTGACAGTGGCCAAGGTGAAGCTTCTCAGGGTACTACCAGGTCCTCTAGGTGGTTCAGAAAAGGATGGTAAAGTGACTAGAGACAAGTTCCCACTTACCTTTCTCAGCAAAGCTCTGGGCAACAGTAGCGAGAGTCTCTAAGGAAGAATAACTAGTTGGCCATGGTCCAACATGACTTCCTGCTTGAGGAGGGCTCCAGCCCCATCTAATATATGGGCCTCAAACCTGGGAGGTGAGGCAGTCTAGGAATGTCAAGACAGATGAGGAACTGAGACTAAAAGTAATTGCAATGACAGACTTACACAAGAACCCTTTGGATGTCACTCTAGGTACAGAAATAGGCACAGGTGTAACAGCAGAGATCTAGGAGCTGACCCCTTGGGAGTGGGTTTGTCAAAATGGACAGACATGTATCTCCATTTATTACATATCACACTGGGATCCTCATGGTTCATTCCCAGGGCAGTGTCAGCAGATATAACATCTATAATACAAACCCTTGTGGAACAGTCCAACAATGCAATGCTCAAAAGGGTTATATATCTCACTCTTTCACTGGGTACACACCCAGTAGAATCCAGAACATGTGTCCACCCACAAGCTTGCACATGAATATTCATAGCAATTCTTTTTAGCAGCCTCAAATTGGAAATAAGCAAAATGCCCCTATGATGGTAACATTCGTGTAATAAAATATTTTCAGGTGTGTGAATATTGGGGACTGATCAAGATCTGATTGTGAATATAGAAATATCGTGCTAAGTGAATGAAGCCAGTCATGAAAGATCACACACTTTCTGCTTATGCTTATGTATAATACCCATAAGAGCTAAATTCAGAGCCAGAAATGAGGTTTACGATTACTGAAGTTTGGAGTGAAGGTAGGAGGCAAATGAGAAGTAAATCGTGATGTATTTGGTATTTCTTTTGGAGGTGACGAAGGCTGACTATGGCTGACTGTGATGATACTGGACTGTTCTGCCAATAGTCTAAAGATCCCTGGATTATAAGTATTAAGTGAGTGGATTGCATGGTATGTGAACTATATATCAATAAAACTGGCATATAAGATATTGGACATTAATGACATGATTAAATTACTAAAACAATGGGGGCAGAAGGAAAAAGCTGCACATGTGTGGACCCCCAGACAAATGTGGGTCCAAAACCAACTGGATCCTTCATTCTGTGGTTCTCTAGCATTTGGCCTGAGCTCTGCTGAAGATGTAGGAGAGGAAGAAGGACCCAAGACCTAAGTGGGTGGACTCCCTTCTCCTCCCCCAGTGGTAAATGAGCCCCACAACAGAGCATTGCTAGACCTTAGGCTTCCCAACACGGCCACCCTCTGCTTCCGTGGTGTTACTTCTTTAGGGCAGGGCTGTTTAACAGGGTTGAAGTTCACATCCTTGGCCCTCACAATGTCTGACAATGGTGGACCCTATCCTGGGATGGATGCTGTGCTATGCCATTCTGACCTCAGAACAGAGCAGGCTGGTGCTGGAAGCCATCACTGTTGTATAGGACCTCTTATAAAGATTGTCAGCATTATGTTGGGAGAATAGCTAACTACAGTCTCCAATCTACCTCTCCCCTTCCCCAAATGAGTAGAGCCTGGGCAAACAGGAATAGCTGATAGCAAACATTCCACAGTCAGGTTTCTTAGCATCCCTTCCTCCTGCGACCTCTTCACCTTACTAACA